GGGCAGGGGTGAAGGGAAGGAGAGAATAGCAAAAACAAAAGAATAGGAAAGAACCCCACCCCCCCCATCCCCGCCCCGCCCAAAAAAAACAAGAAAGAAAGGAAAGATACCAAAGAGACCAAAAAAGGAATTGAGGGGCGTGTCGCTTGGCCGGTCTCGAACGCTGCACTGCCGGTAATGCGAGCTGTTCACATTACCGGCGTTACCCGACGTCTCTGTGTGCCCAAGAGTGGGTAGAGAGGAACTACCATAGCCGCCCTCATTGCAAGTGAGGAAAGTTTACCTTTCAAGGTGAAGCGAGTGAGGTGGGTGGGTAACTCTGTGGGGAATTGCTGATTCAATGTATACGAATGTTTACCGCGGATGCGTCTGCGGCGTCCGCTTCAATTCGGACCTGAATATGTGTTGGCTGGAGGGACACACGTCAAACCCCCCGAAGGCCGCAATTCCTCTGAAGGTATGGTTTCAAGAATATACTGCTAGTGTTCACAACTTGGATGTGCCCTAACTTTTTCGTCTCCGTTCAGACTTGTTTAAACTATAGCTGAACTCCTCTGTCCTCTCCGGAAATAAGTTGGATAGCGGTCCGCTGTGGTGGGCGAATCACTACAACAGCATCATGCCACTATGCCCCACTTACTCGAGCCTCCTTCTCTACACTAATTCATACTAACTCGTGGAAAAATCCGCTATAACATCCCACTCCCTACTCCCCTCCGGAATCCTGAGTCTACACGCGCTACGTAAACCTCAGCGCACTCCTACATCCCTAATACTTCCCTACAAATCCCCACCTAGCGCCAAGCTCCCCCTCAGCGCTTATCCATGGCCTCCCGCACTTGTTGATCAATTAGTCGTATCCGTCACCCTAGCGGTGAAATGCCATCACCTTGAGCGGTGCAATTCCAAACCAAACACGCTGATTGGTAGCCCTGCACTGGCCGGAGGGCTAGGGCACATCACATGCCTGGTATGGTTGTGTCAATGTGCCATGTGTCGAAGTACACGTCAGAGTACTATAGCATCTCCGTTAGGTACCTGGGAAAAACTTAAATCGCGCCAGGACCTAGCAGGAAGGATTCCGAGGATCTGACATCCGCAATGAAAAAGGAATTTTGTTTGGCTCTCGTGCAGGTTCATAAAGCCTAGGAAAAGGAAAGTCACTGCATGTTTTGCTGGAAATAATTTAGGGATTTTTTTACATTTAAGTTGATTTAACTTGAATGAATGGTCGTTATTCGTTTATCCCTACACTTATAGAAATCACTATTTGCGATCTTAAGACTTTAAGACTTTAAGATCACGCGGCGATCCAGACCGTCCGCTTTGCCGGATGGCCTGGATCATCGTGCGATCTTAAAGTCTTAAGATCGAGCTGAAATCTGGACCGTCGGGTCAGTAGGACCGCGGAGGACCCGGATCGGAGCGCCCATTGGAAATAGGGCCCGTTGCAGGCCGGCGCTTTCCCTGCATTGAACTCCAACGGGCCCTCCCGCCTTCCCACCTCGACTCCGCCACCCGCTCCCGCCTTCTGCCACGCCCCATCTCCGCCTCCTCTAGCCATCTCCCCTCCGCCACCGCCTACCATCTCCTCTCGGCCGCCGTTTACCATCTCCTCTCCGCCTCTGCCAACCTCTTCTCCGCCTGGCGCCCACCTTGCCTCCACCTCCGCTCACCTCTCCTCCGTTTACTCCTGCCATCTCCTCTCCGCCTTCACCCACCTCCCCTCCGATCTCCTCCCTGCCTCCACCCACCTCTTCTCTGCTCGGGGGCCACCTCGCGTCCGCCTCCGCCCTCCAGTCCCCTCCCCTCTGCCTCCCCCCACCCCTTGAGATTCCTCTGCCACTTCTCCCTCAGCATTCCCCACCCAGTTCTCCTCTACTCCCGCCTCCACCTACGCTCACCTCCGCCCACCTCACATCCGCCCCTGCCACCCCCACCTCTGCCCACCTCACCTCCACCTCCACTCACCTCTGCCCTCCTCACCTACGGCCTGCCTACCGTAGCGGTCTCTCTCTCTCT